CCCGCCATTAAAGAATTGTAGATGAGGCATTGATTGTAATGTGGGGTTTAACGTCCCAAAACTATCATAGGATTATAAGAGACGCCTTAGTGAAGGGCTCTGGTAGTTTCGTCCACCGCGGGTTCTATAACGTGCACCCAAATCTTTGCCCACGGACCTCTAAAATTTTAGCCTACATCGAAAATGCTCATGCCGTAGCCGGGATTCGGTCCTGTGACTGGCGTGTCAGCAGGCAAGTACCTTAGCGCGTGGATGAGGAATAATATGCCAATATATACGATAAAATAAATTGTTTCAGGCAACATGAACCTATATGTGAAGTTTTACCCGGTACGGAAATATATAGGTGCAACCCAGGTTGTAATAAAGTCCATGCTGGTACCTTTGCAATTTTCGCTGAAGCAAAACCTGAGGGAAGGATGCTCTCATGGCACAAGATTGCTACTTCAAAAGCGCTGTTGGGTCGGGGGGGGGGGGGGTATGAACTACCGGTATAGGGTGACAATCATGACGGGTCAACAGTTGGATATATACGCTTAAAGGTTCGCGTGAGAGATACTCTATGGGAGTGATGTGTGATTCCACAATTACTCCTATCGCAGAAGTAGAGCATGACAGCCCAATATGTATTTTGAATCCCAGAGCTTGCAAGATTTGCATTTTACGCAGGCAAGACGCGCCAGTACTGTTCATAATGAGGAAGCTATATCAACGGTAGTCTACGAAAGCAGCTCATACAATTGTAGCAATTACCTTTCTGATGGGCCGCCTTTCGTGCCTGTTATCTATTTAAGCCGGTAAAGACTCTGTCTAATTTGGACCTAAGCAACGACACGTGCATCGATACGTGCTTCGACCAGGACAAGTTGCGGTCCACCATGACTCTTACGAATCGGTGATGTGTTACATAAGGCACGCAAGTGCCATCAATTGTAATCACGTAACGTTGCATCTATTCGAGTGCAAATGCACAGGCCGCACACTTCGCCGTCACCCCCTGGAGACCTCGTGAAGGCAAATATCTAGAGGTGACCGACGCAGCACGTCGTAGTCTGGCATGCAGCTGTGGCCGTGAAACACCAGAAGCTCTTATGCAGATGTCGTCGACGTACAGCCTCATCTTGGTGGCCTCTGATACCACAATGCCGAGTCTAATGAGAGTAATGTTGAAGAGCGTTGGAATTAGAGCCCTGAGGACCACGGCAAAGGATTTCATGACGACTCGTCTCTCCAACCGCCATCGTCGTGTTTCAGGAAATGTATCCCCTGGAATAGAGGTATTCACGTACTACGTGTGGTGTTCCATTTACTGAGACAGAAGGCATCTTCAGATGCGTACAGACAATAATTACCACAGTAAATATGAAATTTACCCTCATCACCTTTTAACCGGTGGAAATAAGCGATTGAGTCATATGGGAAAATACAAGTCATTTCTGCAAATAGTCTATAGCCACCCTGAGATGTCTGAAAGGTGACCACTGGTAATCACCATGGGGTAATGAAGACTGGCCAAACTGAAACAGACGGGCCAAACAACGTATATACCATCACGTTGAAAACCCTGTCAATTAAATGTTTCGCATCAAGGGAGGAGGATAAGGGAGCGTCGACAAGTGGCTATGTGCCAGAAAAGCGCTGACACGAAACGAAATACGTAAATCGACGGTTGATAACGCAGAAGAAAACAGTTTCGTCATTAAAGGCGTTTACTAAGTGAATGGTAAATGCGCTGTTTGGTACATCGGTTTCAATTTTACCTGGTGAATTAGCCAGATGTCATCGCTCCGCTGTAATTGCCAGTGGGCGCATTTCAGAAATTTCAAGGTGGCTAGGGACTAATCGCAGCAAAAACTTTATTTTGGCTATTTGGCTCGATTAGTTATTTCCCCCGGTTCAAAAGTTAATTATGTATATTTCTGTATCAATGTTGTAAATATAGTTTGTACGCATCTGAAGATGCCTTCTGCCACAGTAGTGGGAACGCCGTAGGCCGCACGTAGGTTTCACTTCTGTAATTTTTCAAAAATAGTGCGTACAATTCCTGATACAATCTGATTATATATATATATATATATATATATATATATATATATATATATATATATATATATATATATATATATATATATATATATATATATATATATGTATAATCAGGCTTTCTGGCAGCCCCTTATTCTACCAGGAAGCTATGCCTGTAGTCGAGGCTCCTGCGCACGAAAATCCTATGCAAGCGGTTTGTCAAGAAAGAACTGTCTTTACATATATCACAGAGCATGTTCAAAAAGTGAATTAACAATCAGGCATCACAGAATGCGCATCGTATGACCGGGTGTTACACAATATGAGTTGCGCAACAAGTCGGCCGTTGAATGCTTCCAACTTATAAAAAACTCAGCCATATTCCGTGATCGTTATAAGGTAATAAATCACTTCTTGGAGCAATGGGTACGTTGCAAACATGTTTGTATTACAGTAAAAAAGACTACAAGAGCACTTGGGCACTCCCTTTCAGAGAGTATTTTATTGTCTCATCTTTCACTTTTTTGCAGAGTGAATTAGCTTTCTTTGAGGCAGTGTATAGCGATTACCACAAAAATAGTCAAAGTACTCGACCTCGACGGAGCAGTTGAACACAGCCAGAAGCAGCGTTCAGTTACCTCACTGAAGAAAGTCGTAGTACACCTCTAAAAATAGAACTACTCGAGCCAAAATTGGGCTTTAAGATTTTTCTGACAGTTTTTCCCACTTGCAGTCCATAGTTATGGCGAAATACGAGCACTCCGACAAAAGAAAAGAAGAAATGTTGAAAAAAATTGGTGGGTGAGATTAGGACACACGCTATTGTTCCATAGCGTTTCAAAGGTAAACATGTTTGTAACTCAATGCACACATAGAACTAAAAATGTTGCTTCGGCTTCCATCGCGACAAAATGGCGAGCACAGCGCAAAGAATTCACCATCTCTAGTATGAGTACATCAATGACATTTTTCCTAACATACCCTAGAATGGCGGCAAGAATGAAAACCTTTCCAACACAATGTATCATTTTGTTTGAAACTCAATTTCCTCGTGTACATCGCATATATGAGATGCCATTCGAATAAAGCTGGTTGTTTACGAAATAATTGGTTCAGAGAGACAGAGAGAGAGAGAAAGTGACAGTTTGTTAGAAGGCAGAGAGGTCAGCCTGAGCTAGTGCACTCTAGCCTGCTTTTCTACACAGGGGATAAGGGAAGGGGAAAGAACGAGGGATGGAGATGGTATAGGGGACAAGAAGAGGTGGTGTGTATGTACCGTAGCCACTTAGCATAGCACCATACAGCTTCGTATCCAGTCCAGTGCTTTTGATAGAGCCTAAGACAGCCATTGTAGCAGTTTTGACCTTGTTTTTTTTCCTACATTGCTCTCAAAATGTAGCTTTCACTGAGTGCTGTTCATCTGATTCTTGCCAACGCTGAAGTTAGCATCTGTCTTTGTGTCGTGTATTTCTGTGCCACATACGCATCTTCCACAATCTATGCATTGAAACGAGCAGCAACATAACAAAAAACAAAAACAATACTGCGTTCAAATGATTAGCTCGTAATGTCCCCAACATAGTTAGCCACGGCTTCTATAAATGATGCTTTTCGAGCTTTCCCTGTCAGAGTGCAATACTTTCCTGGCGTTTTTGGTTCGCTCTTAATAGTATTTTGTTGTTGCCAAAACAGAAATGTGCGCACACCAATTTCTTACCCAACATAAATTGATTGGACGAATTCATTGTTGTAGCTTTGTTCACTGTTATCATGCTGTCTTAGAATTTGAAAATCGCGTACATCATGCTGCCCGGTATACCCAACTCCTCGGACACATCCGCTTTTTTCTGCCTTTCTCAGCTTCAGCGATGAGCATGCACTTATCCAGAAGTGTCAAAAACTTGGGCTTCTTAATGGTTGGTTCTTGTGTAATCCTTCCGAAACGCCAGACAACACTGCATCCAAGCAAAGTCTGAGAGTTCTCTGCGTGCACATGGAGGAATGCACTGCAGCAAGCAGTTAAGCTGCGTACAAAAACGTGCGTCAGCGTTATAGTGTGCTGTTCAAATCTAGAACACTATAGGCAGCATTATGTACCTTTTGCGGGTGTTGTCACTTGATAAGCTATGTGCTGACAAATCGCCAACAGAAGTACTAGCAGAAAACTGTTGTCTTTATTAATTACTATTGAATTAAAATATTACACGCTTGATGGTAGAAACCTGGTGACCTCAGTAGGTGAGCGCAATGTTCCAAACATTAAGCCACTATAGCGTGTATGCTTCCAGCGTGTCAGCGCAAAACACAAGCGTCATCTTTTATGTCATGTACGTCAGATATGCGATGTAAAATGGCGCGAAACGAGTGTGTGTGGGCACATACGCACGTAGCCTTGACGTTAAATACAAGGTAGTGAGACTAACAGTTACTCACCAGCCATAAAACTGTTTTGCGCGTCGTCTTCGCCAAAAAGACGGAACGAACAGTGCCATTTGTTTTTGAAATTGTGGGGCAAGAGATAAACTTGGGCTTTCATCAGTGAGACTAGCTACGAAAATACGAGTGTAAAAGTAATTCATCACTGAAAGTCAGAATGCTTCTCAGTTTATGAACCTTGGCACAAATTTTAATTAGGTGAAACATGTCTTATGGTTTCTCAAAACTTAGCGATAAGTAAAACTGCAACGTTACCTAAGAGACTCACTTCGGCAGTTCTAATTCTGCAGGACACCTCTTCTGATTGTGCCGATTCGCCTTGATATTTCATGAAAGTTTCTTGGGTACACATTGGACAGTTTTATTGCGCAAGCTGCCGAATAAACATGCAGTACGATGCATCATGAAACTTACTGAAAACAATCTTATATTGCTAAATTATCGAATTGCTATTTGTCACACGTGTCAGTGGCACTGTAATAGAACATTCAGGCACCGACTATCTTGGCAATCCTGAATGTGTTCTCTTTATTTCGCAGGTCGAGGGTTCGGATGCCCGTTTAACCAAGGAGCCTGTCACAGACACTGCCGCAGCATTCGGCGCCGGGGTGGCTACTGCGCTGGCCTAATCAAGCAGACATGCACATGTTACCGGAATTAACAATTCCGAATTGACCACGAACATGAATATTTCCTAGCTGCATTTACTGCTGATACTGGAGGTCCTGCATCGAATGGTGTATGAATATGGTTTTATATATGAACGGTATTTACGGTCAGCTTTAAGAGTAACTACGCTTTTGAACATTGTGTCAGTATAGCGTTTGTGCACACACTGGCGCTTTACTTTAGCAAGCTTACAACGTCACTTCTGTTTCGTACATCAGAAATGCTTTGACAATTCACTGTCAACAAAGCGAAATGTGCGAAATAAAATTATTTTTTAGCTGCACTGACTAAACAACTTTATTTATATGATCTTGAGGCTGAAGGTGGTTGTTGCTTGGTGGCAGTCAGCGCTTATCCCCAGGTCGCGAATCCTTTACGTACAATCGGAAACATTTACTTCCCAACATCTGGCTGAACGATCACCCCAGCTTTGTTTTCTGCCTGAAAAATCTTACCTTGAGCAATACATTCATTTGGCAGTACCAAAGCTCTCACCTCAATAAGGACATCAATATGTACAATCTTAGTCCCTCGGGCCGCTAACCAACTTTACTGTTGCACATGCAGATGCCATCATCACATTTAACAATGATGAGACTCCTAATCAGGTACCAGTAAACGTGCTACATATTGCCCAAAATCCAGACATTTTACGTCTAGTGTCTTTACTAATGCCAGCATTTAGCGAGAACCTGGTTAAAGCTGTAGTTAGGCCTATATTTATACTATAGCGTCCTTCATAATCACATCACTGGTTTCAAGAGCTACAGAAATTCAACTTTAATTTGTGACCAACTTCCGTCTCGTATTCTCCTATTTCACTTTTGAGCCCGCATAAACCCAACACCCCGCCATGCAGGAGCCGAAAACTCGTCATGCACCCCTCAGCACATCGTTCTCTACCATCATGGTGACGTTGAACTCTTTTGAGGCCCCTACACAATCCCTTGCGTGAGAAAAGCTTCCATCTCTGCACTATGATTCATACAAAGCCATAACAAATACCAGGACGGTGAATTAGTATGTTACCCGTATAGATTCCCCAAATGGCCCATGGCCTGCGCGACAGAGACCGTATGCATTCCTCGCCTCAAACCCTTCCACAGGCGTTCCACAAACCAGCTTGCGGTGAAGCGGCTGTTACCATGAAAGGGGAAAGTAATGAGCGTGGGCATTCACACAGACTTGCTCTTCTTTATAACTTAGTCGAACGACAGCTAAAGCTGGTGGTGACTCAGCACTGGCATGTTTGCATGCATTATATGTCATAGTTTTGCGTTTCCTTGTTAAGGGCCCATTTCTTCTCTTAAAATGAAGAAATCTGAGGCGGAACGATTGTATTGCAACACTAAGACTGTGTGCATGATAGTTAGTCATGGCAGGTTTTATGGCGCAAAAGCAACAATGGCTATGATGCGCCAGACACTAAGTGATTTTATTATTAGAGTTAAAACGTGAGGTGAAAACAGATTTCTGTTTACAGTTTGTTTAAAAGATCTGCGGCTTCTAAAACCGAAAACATCCTCTATGGGGCTGATCGCATTTTCTCATAGTATTAACATTTGGTGTAAAGGTGTTTTTTTCTGTAAAATTGTTCAAAATAAGCGTGTCTTCTTTTTTTAAAAACTGGGCATGTTATTAAAACATGATAGTGTGCATGAGTAAATGTATTATTGTACATACAAATATATGCGTATATATGGTATTTTTAACCCTACATATTTTTATTCGTGTACGGCATAATTTACGTCCACGTGGTAACGTTATGCAGATTTTAAAGTACCATAGAAACTTTCCTCATTCGTGCTTCGCGTATCATCGATTCTCACTGTACGTTTCACATGTGACAACGTCAGCGACGGCAGAACTCGAGGCTCTGCGCAGTACACTGGAATTGATCCATTCGGAAGAAAGACCAGGTAAAAGGGCCGTGATTTCTGACTCAAAACCAGCGTTACAGTGCCTGCTATCAGTTCTCCGACGTGGATGCCATGACAAGTTGACCTACCAAACCGTGAAACTTCACCACTTTTTAATAAAGAAAGGCCACGAAATCGTCTTTCGTTGGTTACCTGGGAATAGTAGTATAGGCGAAAATTATTCTGCAAATCATGCTGCTCGCACCTCACATAAAGAAGCAAACAGCCTTCCAATTCCGCTTTCAAGAGTGGATGCGGCAAGGCAGATTCGTCAACTGGCTTGCAGTCTCACACTGACTGAGTGGGACACACCAAGCATACGACGCACAAGACTGCACGAGCTTGGCCCTTCACTACAACTCCGGCCTACACTCCGCCTACATCGACGTGAAGCTGCGCTTCTCTATCGCGTTCGACTAGGAGTTGCTTTCTCGAAAGCTTATACCGCGTTAATCGGAATTACTGACAGTGCGGCGTGCGATGTTTGTGGCACCGACGAAAATATCGAACACCTGCTGTGCCACTGTCCTCGATTTGCCTCAGATAGACCAGTACTTGCCAACGTAATGCGGTGACTGGATGATCGGCCTCTTTCTGTACAGGTGCTATTACAGCAACGTCCACATGCCTCGACAGTCCACAAGGCAGTGAAAGCCGTGCTGTGTTTCCCGAGAAAGACCGCCTTGTGTGAATGCCTCTGACATGCGGTAGAGTTCTACATGCTGCAGTGAAATTACTGTCAGTCTCTCCCCCATTTTTTTCTTTTCCCCCTCTTCCTTCTTTCTCATCTTTCTTGTCCCGTTCCCTAGTCCCCCAGTGTAAGGTAGCCAACCAGATGTCTTTCTGGTTAACCTCCCTGCCTTCTCCCTTTTATTTCTTCCACATTCTTTTCCCACTGTAGGTGGGATCTGCCAAACTTTTTCATTATAAGGATCCTATTACAGTAAGACTCTGGTCTTTTTCACACATAAACTCCATATCAAGGCCTAAATATTCTGGCGCAGTTTACATGACACTGTTGAAACAAGTTACCATCATTTCGATAATTAATTTTATTTGTTGACTTGGGGGCCCGTTTTTGTATGAACATGGTGTAGTGCGTGGCCACTTTATGGCATACCCGCTATTTCAAGATCATAGAACTTGCACATAGTTTGAGATAGTCATCATTACATTACACGGGCAAAATCTAAACTGACCGCGCTCAGTGCACACGAAGTGCGGCAGAAGACAGGGATGACACGAGACGTACAGTCAAACGACAAAACTTACGTGAATACACGCTGAAACCAAACCTTCTCAGCAAAAGTGGTAAGCATGCTGAAATACGCAAGTGCACAGTGTAATGCATACAGTTTCTTACAAAAATACTTAGAGGGCTATCTGGCACCACCGTCTATGCGAATTTCTTAAGGTATCTTGTTGGAGCACTGGTAATGACGGTATATGTGTCTGCGAGGCTTGTGTTGGCTGGTGTTGAGCGAGGCTTCGGCTGAAAAGTGGACACGACTGCGCGAATAAAGCTTTTCGAAAACATAACTTTTATAAGCGAATATTGTTCACGCGTATTATAATCTAAATAAAAAAACGCTCACCCTAGAGCAACCAATTGGCGAAAGCAAAAAAAAACAAAACCGACAACAGAAAGTGGCAGAGGGAAGGCTCGCTTTGTCATCTGCCTGCCAAGTTTAGTGGCCATTACTTTTTTTACGCTTACGCTTCGGAAAATTGTACATTGATGCAGACGTTCTGAGTGTTAATTAAAACACGTTTTTGTGCAAAGGCAAAACATAAATAGGTTATCTCGTGCTATTCTAGTAAAAAATCACCCATTTTAATGTGAAGCCAGACGCGTCTTCGAGGTATTCAATCCGAGTCACGCTCGAAGTTCCCCAGGCAGCACAGAACATTGGCCCAAGATTGGGGATAGATCGGCAGTTCATGGCCCGAGAATGGCCTAGAATGGACAACGTACCGCCGATAATGGCTGAGCCAGCAGAATAGAACGGCGATGTTGGACCAGCATTGACAACGTTCCGCCAATAATAGCTGTGCGAGCCGAATAGAACGGGGAGTTGGACCAGCATTCAAAACTTCCCACCATTATTGGATGTGCCAGCGTATTAGAACGGCCACATTGCACCGAGTTTTACAACCAGCAGGCAATATGGGCGGAGCCATGCAATTAGGCTTGCATTATTGGCCCGTCGTTCGAACGTTATTGCCGGCGTCAGCTAAAGAGGCAACTTCGTTGGCATAACATTGGACCGGTATGCGCTGATTTCTGCGTCTGCTGCTTTTGGCGCTGCTGTAGTCCCACTAACGTGTCGATTTTTCAAGTTCGAGAGCGTAATACGCCGGGCACATAAATAATATATTTTTGTCTTTAAATCATGCACACCTAGTTGATATGTATGATTGTTGATTGAAGTTGCGCAAGGTAGACTATTTTACTGATAAACATTTATCGAGTTTGTCGCCTGTCGGACGTCTGATGCGGTGCTTTCCCAGATGAAAATCGTGCAGATCTGTGGGATGAAGTGACCGCGGGTGCCACTGCCGTACGTGACCCACTTTGATGTGACCCGGCGCGCGCTTGCGCCGGCGTTCGTTTCGTCGCCTCACGCTGGCGATTCCACGCCAAGCGCTTTCGATTTTGTGGAAATCGGACGCAAAGCATATCGTATAATGTGTCCTGCTATGCTATCGCCACGACCGATCTGCTTTTTTCACGTTCACAGCGCTGCACCAGTTAACGGCACACAAGTACTTGACGTGTGGGAACTGGAGTTATCAGTTGCGTTACGGTGAATGAATCGTACAACACACGCATTTGCCGTAATCTGACACACACACTGACGCTCGCATTCTGTATCGCAATGACCACACGAATTATCTACAACATTGCAGCGAGCGGTTTGTAAAGTGTGGTGGAGTGCATGCGATGAATGATTGATATGTGGGGTATTTGCCCCAAAGCCACCATATGATTATGAGAGACGCCATAGTGAAGGACTCCGGAAATTTCGACCACCTGGGGTTCTTTAACGTTCACCATAATCTGAGCACACAGGCCTACAACATTTATGCCTCCATCGGAAATGCATCCGCCGCAGCCGGGATTTGAACCCGCAACCTGCGTGTCAGCAGCCGAAAACCTTAGCCACTAGACCACCGCGGCGGGGCGGTGGATTGCGTGGGCGTCGGGCACCTTGTCTCCATGGGTCGTCGCGAGTTACAATTTTGTTGTGGAACGTTTTCTTTGTTTATTATTTTGATATATACACATTGCTCTACTGTAGCCAAAACATCAGCTAGCCCATGCAGAACGTAGACTTAATTGAACCTGCAGTACGACATGCAAAAAAAAAAA